TAAATAAATGAATCCTTAACTAATCCTCAATAATATTCCTGAATTCTCAATAAGGAATTGCAATGAAATTTTAAAATGTTATGAGTACTCTAGCAAAGGTTTGAACACAGGAAAGTGAAGCAGGAGAGAAAACTCTTCAGTGTCCAAAGCCAAACAAATTTTACCAACAATAACAAAACCCACTTTTACTCTGTTTTCCCCATTTCTGTGCCTGTCATCAACATGCCCCTCTTGCCTAAGCAAAAAGGCTGTTTCTTTAACCCCCGCTTAACTGCTTCTACCACTACCAAGTCTCATCTAACCACACTTTGTTTTTTATTTACATTTTTTTCACCCTAGACAAAGCTTCTATTGTTTCTTCTCGAATTATTTAAAAATTTAGAAACACTGCTTCCTGGGTAATCTTGATCAGACTTAACGTTTTGGGGGAAACCTAGTCTACTGGTAACTCAGTATCTGCATGCCAACATAATTATTACTCACTAGTCTTTAGTTAAACATGATTCTCTTGTGCTTTCATGGGGTATTCTATTCATTTGCTTGTCATGCAGGTACATCCGCTACATTCTAAACTCATGGGTAAAGATTATGTCTTCATTGTTTTATTTTCCTACAGTTCCTAGCTTAGTGCCTGGCAAGTAGCAAGGGTTCAGCAAATGGTGATCAAAATGTAAGGAAAAGCCTGCAAACTAATCTGCCTTCCTTTAAGCTGCTCTCTCTTCATTGGTCTAACACACATATCACTTTTAAATTAAACTTTTTTGTTTTTTTAGATTTTTTGAGACAGAGTTTTGCTCTGTCACCCAGGCTGGAGGGCAGTGGTGTGATCATGTCTCACTGCAACCTTTACCTCCTGGGCTCAAGTGATCCTCCCACGTCAGTCTCTCAAGGAGCTGGAACTACAAGTGTGCACCATCATGTCTGGCTAAGTTTTTCTACTTTTTTATTATTTTTTTTGTAGAGATGGGGTCTCACTATGTTTTCCAGGATGGTCTTGAACTCCTGGCCTTAAGAGATCCACCTGCCTCAGTCTCCCAAAGTGCTGGAATTTGAGGCATGAACCAATGTGGTTGGTCTAGTTAAACTTCTTAAAGGATAGCATGGTTCATCTGATTCCCCTGCAATTGTTCCTCTCCATATAATGATGAGACAAAAATGCCTAATTATAAGAATCCAAATCACAGAACACATTTCCACCTACTCTGCTATATCTAATCTCTCTTTCCAGTTTCCTGAATATCCCATCCCTATGGTTTGCCAGCCCAGTACCTTTGCTCCAAGTTGACTCTCTATTTAAATGTTTGCCTGCCGTGTTCCTCTCCACCTTAAAAAGCACAACTCAAGTGGTCTTTTGTTTGTGAAAGTATTCCTCAATTCCCAAGCTGTAAGTGTTATCATTACAAACTGCCCTATTATTTTACTTCTTTCTGGGCACTTAATATGGCCTACTTAAACATAAGAAACCAAAATGTATTTCTCATCTGACCATATTTTATTGAAAGTTAGAGGTGACAAGGAACTATTTATGTGCCCTCCCTTTTCTAATGTTTACCATCTTCACTGCCATTGCGAATCACAGTGCTTGATAAATATAATAAGTTTTCAATAAATATTAATTAGATAAATGTATACTTGTTATTATTTCTAAATGGTGCATTTTTAAACAACGTGGAAGGTTATACATATATAATATTCACTTTTTCTTTATTATTTTTTTTGAGATGAAGTCTCACTCTTGGTGCCCAGGCTGGAGTGCAGTGGTGCAACCTCGGCTCACTGCAACCTCTGCTTCCCGGGTTCAAGGGAATCTCCTTCCTCAGCCTCTCAAGTAGCTGGGATTACAGGCAGTTGCCACCACACTCAGATAATTTTTGTATTTTTAGTAGAGGCGGGTTTCACCATGTTGGCCAGGCTGGTCTTGAACTCCTGACCTCAGGTAATCCACTGACTTGGCTTCCCAAAGTGCAGGATTACAGGCATAAGCCACCGCACCCAGCCTTATAACATTCACTTTTCCTCTAGGCTTAGTTATGTAAGGGAATATATTTGCTGAATAGATGTGAGTAAGAAATTGCTACTGTTTGCAACCAAAATTAAAAATTTTAACTTAATTTTCTTTTTTTTTTCCAACTTAAACTGCCTAATGAAAACTTTAACTTGTTACCACCTTCTATAGGTAAACTCAGCAATATCAATAAAAAGCCTTTAAAAGATCACAGTCATTGAGCCAGTGATACCAATTTTAGTAATGCTACTAATGCAAACCAAATGATGTACATATCAATTTATCTATAAGAATATTGACTGAATAATAAATACAAAATAAAAATATTTTAAGACATAGTATAATATTTACAGATATAACAAAATACAAAACACTAATTCATATTCTCAAAGGATAGAAGAAAACAAATTTGTTACAAAATAATAAAGAAAATCAACAAAGTATATATACAATTGGTATAGTTTGGCTGTGTCCCCACCCAAATCTCACCTTGAATTGTAATTCCCACAATTCCCACAAGTCATGGGAGAAACCTTGTGGAAGGTGATTGAATCATGGAGGTGGGTATTTCCTATGCTGTTCTCGTGATAGTGAGTGGGACTCACGAGATCTGATGATTTTAAAAATAGGAGTTTTCCTACACAAGCCCTCTTTTCTTGTCTGTTGCTGTGTGAGATGTGCTTTTCACCTTCCTCCATGGTTGTGAGGTCTCCCCAGTCACATGGAACTGTAAGTCCCTTTAACTGCTTTCTTTTGTAAATTGCCCAGTCTTGGGTATGTTGCCATCAGCAGTGTGAAAACAGACTAATACAGTAAATTGGTATCAGGAGTTGGATGCTGCTGAAAAGATACCTAAAGATGTAGAAGCAACTTTGGAACTGGGTAACAGGCAGAGGCTGGAATAGTTTGGAAGGCTCAGAAGAACACTGGAGAAGGTGGAAAAGTTTGGAACTCCCTAAAGACTTGTTGAGTGGTTTTGACCAAAATGCTGATAATGATATGGACAATGACATCCAGGCTGAGGTTGTCTCAGATAGAGATGAGGAACTTGTTGGGAACTGGAGCCAAGGTGACTCTTGTTATGTTTTAGAAAAGAGACTGGCGGCATTTTGCTCCTGCCCTAGAGATTTGTGTAACTTTGAACTTGAGAGAGATGATTTCGAGTATCTGGAGGAAGAAATGTCTAAGCAGCAAAGCATTCAACAGGTGACTTGGGTGCTATTAAAGACATTCAGTTTTATAAGGGAAGCAGAGCATAAAAGTTCAGAAAATTTGCAGCCTGCCAATGCAATAGAAAAGAAAATCCCATTTTCTGAGGAGAAATTCAAGCTAGTTGCAGAAATTTGCATAAGTAACAAGGAGCCAAATGTTAATCATCAAGACAATGCAGAAAATGTCTCCAGGGCATGTCAGAGGGCTTCATGGCAACCCCAGAGGTTTAAGAGGGTAACATGATTTCCTGGGCTAGGCCAGGGTCTCTCTGCTTTATGAAGTCTAGGGACTTGATGGCCTGCATCTCAGGTGCTCCAGCCACGACTAAAAGTGGCCAAGGTATGGCTTGGCTGTTGCTTCAGAGGGTGCAAGCCCCAAGTCTTGGCAGCTTCCACATGGTATTGAGCCTGCGGATGCCCAGAAGTCAAGAACTGAAGTTTGGGAACCTCCGCCTAGATTTCAGAAGATGTATGGAAATACCTGGATGTCCAGGCAGAAGTTTGCTGCAGGGGTAGGGTCCTCATAGAGAATCTCTCCTAGGGCAGTGTGGAAGGGAAATGTGGGGTCAGAGCCCCCACACAGAGTCCCTACTGTGGCATCACCTAGTGGAGTTGTGAGAAGAGGGCCACCATCCTCCAGACCCGAGAATGGTAGATCCACCAACGACTTGCACCCTGCACCTGGAAAAGACTCAGACACTCAATGCCAGCCCATGAAAGCAGTCAGAAGGGATGCTATACCCTGCAAAGCCACAGGGGCAGAGCTGCCCAAGACCATGGGAACTCACCTCTTACATCAGCATGATCTGGATATGAGACATGGCATCGAAGGAGATCATTTTGGAGCTTTAAGATTTGACTGCCCCACTGGATTTTGGACCAGCATGGGACCTGTAGCCCCTTTGCATTGACCAATTTCTCCCATTTGGAATGGCTATATTTACCCAATGCCTGTACCCTATTTTATCTAGGAAGTAACTAACTTGCTTTTGATTTTACAGGCTCATAGGCAGAAGGGACTTGCCTTGTCTCTAATGAGACTTTGGATTGTGGACTTTAGACCTGATGTTGAAATGAGTTAAGACTTCGGGGGATTGTTGGGAAGGCATGTTTGGTTTTGAAATGTGAGGACATGAGATCTGAGGGGGCCAGGGATGGAATGATAAGGGTTTGGCTGTGTCCCCACCCAAATCTTATCTTGATTTGTACCTCCCACAATTCCCACATGTTGTGGCAGGAACCTGGTGGGTAGTGATTGAATCATGGGAGCGAGTCTTTCCTGTGCTGTTCTCATGATAGTGAGTGGGTCTCACAAAATCTGATGGTTTTAAAAACGGGCGTTTGCCTGCACAAGCTCTCTTCTCTTGTCTGCTGCTGCTGTGTGAGACGTGCCTTTCACCTTCCTCCATGATTATGAGACCTCCCCAGTCACATAGAACTGTAAGTCCATTAAACATCTTTCTCTTGTAAATCTCCCAGTCATGAGTATGTCTTTATCAGCCACATGAAAATGAACTAAATATAATACTATCATTGTAATTTTGCTTAAAAGAAAAATCCAACAAAACAAAAATAAAATTATATAGAACAAAATGATGACAGAGGTTATTTTCAGAAAAAAGGCTCATCAGTGCTTTTAATTTTATTTTATTTTTATGCATTTTACTATTTTTTACAATGTAAGACTATATTTTTAAACATTCAGCACATAATAATAGCATTTTTATAATTTCAAGTCCTTTTTGGAAATAATGGAAAATGTATAAACAATCATTTATTCTTACCTGGGTATGCTCAAATATAGTTGAAAGAAAATGGACACTTGACTTTATATAGCTTCTATCATACAGTTGCCATCAGAATTCTTCTATCACTTTCTCTCCTATGTATATCAAATGGAATCATAAATAACTAAAAAGAAAAATATAATTGGACTTAGAATTAATCAATAATTACATTTCTGTTTATTTTAAATTTAGAAGTTCAGCATATCTTTTAAAATTCTAATTATGTTTCTTGAAAATGTTCAAGACAATTACCAAATAATAGGAAAATAATGATAAAATATGTAAATATTTGGAAAAGATTGTTACTGATACCTAGGTAATGAAAAATAGCAAGATTTGTAGATGATGTGTTAAATGTTTTAACTCATAGATATGTTACTATTAAAGCTTGGTGATAGTTCTTTAATAATATATGCCATTCCCCCTTGAACAACAAGGTGCCCCAACTATCTCTTTCACATACTATTTATTTGGACTAACCAATCTCATACCCTGTTAATGATGATTACGAAGGTGAAACTGAATTTTAGAAGGCACTGATTTATTTTCATTTTCATTCTACTTTGACTGTTATGGCAAGGCATTCAGATAGCTTATCCTTCTATTCATAATCATGCTATAACTAGAAGAGATATGTTAATTGGTTAAGACTTTTATATTTTTATTCCAACAAACAAAACAAAAATTCTTTCTGGGTAGACACAACAGCACAAACTATGTCTTCCTTTAATTATATGATTTCGAATGTACCTCTGACATAAGTTCAAATAGTACCAGAAGAATTCACAGCATAGTATCTTTTGCCAAAACACTAAAAAGACCTGACCTTTTTGAAGGAGGGGGAAAAATGGAGAAACATATCTAAGTCGTGTGCCCTGCTTCTCATCATAACTTTGATACAAACCCCTTGATACAGACATTGATGATGCCATATGTGCACTTTTTACTTTCTTAAATAGACAGATCTCACATGTTATTTTATCCCTTCCTCTTTGTTTCAATCTAAGCCATCTGAATACTTTGAAAGCCATCTTTTTCCATCTTAGCCACATACTCATTAGAAGCCTATTGACCTATTTGTTCACTCTATTTGTTTTCTTCTGCTTCAGTCTCCTGAGTAGCTGGGACTACAATTGTATGGCATCACGCCCAGCTAATTTTTGTATTTTTAGTAGAGGGGGGTTTTGCCATGTTGGTCAGTCTGGTCTCGAACTCCTGACCTCAGGTGATCTGCCCACCTTGGACTCCCAAAGTGCTGGGTGGATTATAGGTGTGAACCACCACACCCAGCTTCTTTTTCATTTTCTAACATGACTTTAGAGAGAAATAAAGGATCTCAGTTTAGGTTGTCCTGGAGGCAAACACTGAGGTAATAATAACTTCAATGTGAGAAGTTTATTTGGGAGATAATCCCAGGAAATATTAGCAGGGTTGAAAAGAAAGAAGTGAGACCTGGAATGGAAGACTTCTTACCAACACAGAGATCATTATAAGACCTGTAACACTATTGGCAACTGCAGCTTAATCTGGCTGGGGAAAATCAGACATCCAGTGTGTAATACACCCCTCAGCTATATCTCACTGTAAGAATGAGAGCTAGCATATTTATATACCAATTCTCATTAGTCATTAGCTGAGGGTTGCTCCCAGGGGCATTGATTCCCTAGAACTTTCAGTCTGTTTGGTTAACAAAGTGGTCTCTTGTGGCCAAAGAATCCCTTAGGTAAAGAAATGCAGGATAAGCATTAGAAATTTTGCCAGGTTGAACTATAGCACTAAAAGAGAGGTTATAGGCTGATCATCTACAGCATCTACAACAAAAAGCAACAATTTTAAATTTTGAATTAAAATATTAGCACAGTATATTTTAAGGTCATATATTGATATTTTATAATTTTAGTGAAAAACAATGTTTGCTTAACTCAGTAAGACCATTATTTATTAAATCATATGTTATTTTCTTAGAACTGACTGGATCTTAGCATGTATTAATTACACAATTCACTTCACCTTGCTGTAAAATGTAAAGGTTGTATCATCACATACTTCCAGCTCTAAAAATAGATGTGTTTATCTTGGACAGGAAATTTCAAGCATGACACATAGCTAAAAGGTAAACTATAAAACCATATCATGATTTCCACAGTCGTTTATCAGATCATGTTTTTCTTGTTTGTTGGTCTTAGATGAGAGGAGAGAAAAGGAAGAACAAAATTATTTATCTTTTAGGATGACATAGTTTTTCCATTTTTATTTTGACAACTATTGATCTTATGAACAGAAATTAGAGAGAACTAATTTGAGATAAATAACTTATCAAAACTCTTCAATACATTTCATTCCCAAATTTTATAGAAAATATTTTTCTTAAAATAGTCAATTCAATTTAATCAAGATAAATAATTGTTAATAAAACTCTTCAGTAGATTTAATTCCAAAATTTAATAAAAGAAAATCTTTTCCTTGAAATGGTCAATTCAATTTAACATCCCCGTAGCCTTTATTTTTATCTTAAATTCACTGAAACCCAGTCACACTGAGGAAATACTTTTCAAACTAGAATATTTTATGCAATGTGACAGAATAAAGAAGAGCACAAAAATACACACATCAAAAAATAAGAACTAACTTATGCCTACTTCTGTCTTTCTTCTTGCAGGAAATGACATATTTTCCAAATGGGATCTATTATTCTATGTCTGATATGATTAGATTTTTCATAGAAAGAGCACTTTGAATATTCTTGCAAAACTCAGATTGGCTTAGGGGCTGCTCTTTTGAACATATTTTACTTTAAAATATAAAATCCTGATTTCCAATTCAAATGCTTCTTAAAATTTTAGTATGAACATAATATGCTCAATTTGATACTGTTTTGCCACCATTTATTACACATTTTCACACAATTTGAAGATGTATGTGAAATTAAATGAAACCAACTATTTCTTTACTAAAACTTCCTTTATCCCCAACAGTACCATTTAAGAAAAACATTATTAATGCTGCAATATGACAAAATGCTTCAATTTGTTAATGTAACAGGTAAATCTTTAAATATTCTATATATAATAAACCAAGCAAAACAAACAAGTCAGGCCAAATTGTATTTCTACTTGTCATCATGTGAAATATGGACCATCATTATCATGATCTTAAAATATTTTCAAAATCATTATTCTCTTTTTTTACCTAGGCCCAAGAATTTAACAGTATTTAATCTAATTTGCAAAATGTTTTAAGAGTTTTCCTGGATATTTATTTCTTATCCTCTATAGGCTCCTAAATTCAAAATATATAAAATCAGATCTTGGCCCTGATTTTCTTTTCTATATTTTTCTTTTTTGTCTTGTGACATTAAGTAAGTAGTACAATCCCCACTGATTGCTCACACCTGAAATCTGGCATTATTAATCCTTTTTTTTTCCCTTACCACCTACATGCAGTTAAATAAATTCAAGTCTACTTAATACAACAATCTCCAGTTTGTTTTCTCTCCCAGTTTACACTCCCCACCTATCCATCCCTAGCCAGTCGTAATTTCTCTAACAAGTAATTTGGCCACATCACCAATGGACAAAGTACATATGCCTTAGTATGCCTTTAAGACACCTTCTCAAATGTTTTCACCCCAATGTTCTAAGCAAAACATACAAAGAAAGTGATATTAGGATGATTGTCCTAAGTAGCCCGGAGCAATCACTTCCTATGTATTCTAGTCATCTCACTAAGGAAATGACATACAAATAGTCATACCTATACCCCTACACTCTTAAGGAAAATAACATTAGAAAAGTAATTTTGTTCATTAACACAATATTCACTGAACAGCTATTGAATGCCCAGTTGTTTAGTTACTAGTGAGAGGAAAATAAGTCTGTATACTCCTTTGCATGCATCAGTGTGATAAGGACTATGTTCCTGGCAAGGCTAGGTGCTGCAGAAAAGTCTTCCTAAAAAAGGTAAGACTCATTAACCTTCAGTTAACAGAAGCTGTCCAGTGAGGAAGGTGGGGAAAGTCACAGTTGGCAAAGGAAACATCATAAGCAAAGGCACAGGAATAAGAAAGAACACGCCATCTTCAAGGATAGGCTATAAGAATATTTTATTTTAAAATAGAATATTTATAGGAAACTCTTTTGTATAAAACTTGAGGAATAAGATGAGGCCACATCAGGAAGGCTCCTGATTGCCATGTTATAACATTTGTATTTTACCTTTAAGGTGATGGAAGTATGATTAAACAGGGAAGCAGTACAGTAAGATGTGTGTTTTAGATAGGTGTTTAGGATGATCATATTGCCAAGGCGGCTCTGAAGAGACATGAAAGGGAGGGGATGAGACAAGCAAATTACTTCTTAGAAATTTGTGTATATTTGTTAGATGCTAATGCAAAATAGACTCAAGGCATTCATATTTATAAGATGTAAAACTGGAACGATCTTTATAATTTAATTTATATAGGAATAGAACCAGACAAAGATAGCTTTGATCCTGGGTTTTTCTATTCCCGGAAATCAGATAGGACCAAAAATTCATATCACCTGTTATTCTTCCAAATGCATTCTGAGTTCCATACCCTCAGCTTTCAGTATGGTAATGAAAAAAGTGATAGTGGATGAGACATGAAAAACTCTTCAGAACACATAAGAATTTTAAATTTATCAATTTAAAATCAAATTCAATCCATGCTTTCCATTGCATTTGCCGTGAAACTTTCAGCAGTGCTTTGAAGCTCTCAATGGCAGGAAATTTTTCTAATTAAAAAAAGTAGAACAATTATCAAGTCATTCACTCTTTTTGCTGAAATTAGTGGAAAACAGAAGTCACTTTCCCTGAAACGTTTGGTTATTAAAATTTTCAGTATATATAGTGTGAATATGTCTATGAACAAAACACTTAAAAAATTAGAAAATTATAAGGAAAACAAAAATCATCTATATTAAGATAAACTAAAATATAACATTTAGACACCTTCCACCCAGTCTTTTTCTAAAACTGAAATTGTACTACACATATGCAAAGTTCAGCTATTTCACCCTCCAAACCTCATGTTGAAATGTGATCCCCAATGTCAAACATGGGACCTAGTGAGAGGTATTTGAGTCATGGGGGCAGAACTCTCAT